CATTAGGATTTGACCAGAATGCAATGAACGTTTTAAGCCGTTGTGCAGAAATCCGACTCTAAACTCTATCTTTCGTTTTAGGCACATTCAAGCCTACCGTGTCGATAACAACATGTACCAGCCGGACTACTACAACAACGGGACCGGCCGAGTGTGCAATATGCTGAAGAGTCTGTACAGGCTGAAGCAGTTGTTGGTGCTGTGGTACAAGGCACTCAATGATGTGCTAGTCAGTGCTGGCTCCAAGAAGAGCCAGGTCGACGAGGCTCTCTACGTCAAGGTTGGCGCTGACACAGTGGTCTGCTGGCGTCTAGGGTGACGACCTGCTCGCCGCCAGCAGCAGCACCGCGATGCTGAAGGAGCTGCTGGAGGTCACCTTTGAGCTGTGCGAGATCTCATCAATGGAAAAGTACCTCGGGCTAGAGATTGTGCGCGACACGCCAACGAGAAAGTTGTGGCTACACCAGCAGAACCATGCCGACAGGCTGCACAAGCGGTTCATCGACGAGGAGCAAACCGGGCGTACCCCGAAGGCGCGGGTCTCCGTCGACGCCTATGCCGAGCTGACATTCGACGACGAGGAGGCACAGGAGCGCCAGGAGGAGGAGTACCGGTAGAAGGTCAGCTCGCTGCATTTTGCGGCGACGACGATGAGGCCGGACATTGCATTCGCTTGCAGCAAGCTGGGGAGCGGCCTTACGGTGAGGGGCGATCAACACTGGCGTGAGTTCGACCACTGCCTCGCCTACCTCGCCAACACTCGTGACACTGCCCTAGAGTTCGGCGGTAGTCTGGAGACGCTGGAGCTGGTCGGCTACGTAGACGCCAATGAAGCCGGCAACAAGCAGAACTGGATGACCACGAACGGCTATGTGTTCGTCTACGGAGGGGCTGTAGTCTCCTGGTCGAGCCAGTGCATCAAGTGCGCAACGCTGTCCTGAACCGAGTCGGAGTACGTGGCGGCCACCGAAGCCCACAAGGAGGGACACCGCCTTCACTTCCTCATTGCAGAATTCCGGCAACTGGACGCCGGAACGCCGACCGTCCTTCGGGTGGACAACAAGTCGGCCATCACGGTCGCCGAGGGCATGGGGTTGACGGGAAACCTCAAGTACATGGACTGACGCTACGCTTGGCTACAGCCCATGGTGAAGCGTGGGAAGTTTACGCTAAGGTACATCCCGACCACCGAGCAGCCAGCTGACTTCCTAACGAAGGCGCTACACTACTCGGCTTTCAACCGGTGCTCCGTCGCAATCGGCCAAGTGCAACAGGTCGACGTGGGCGACGGCGAAGATGTCGTGCAGTAGTAGGTGCCATGCCCTCTTGCATGGCTGGTGCGTTGACGGCGTGATGTGTCTGATGTCCATGCCGACGAGCTATTCTCCGAGTCTTGCTGTCGTGTGGGCTTGGGGGGGGCCAAGCTTGAACACGGCAGAGCAGTGTCAACAGGAGTAGTGGTTGGCCCCATCCTCGCTTACGCGGAGCCGTCTTTGCGGTCGACAAGCACAAAGAGGAGTGGCGCGGCGCCAACTTGGAGGGCGCAGAGATTAGATGGTCAACCTAGCGAGGTCGACCTACGGAGGCGTAGACATACAACTTTCGGTCGACTTTCCTTGAACAAGTCGACGCCAACTTGGTGGTTTCCAGGTAGACCAAGTAATCAGGGCGACGAATTTCGCGGAGGAGCGCGACGGTCGCCCAGGTGGTTTTTGGCGAAGCTAACCTCGGTGGTGGTGACCCGAGGTCGATCTGGAGGATCAAGTGCAGACGTGGGCACGTGTTCGACTTGGTGTCTGAGCTGTGCAGGTGACGAAACACAGCACGCCAATCAGCTGCGAGCACATGCAAAGCAAGTGCGCTGCTGTCCTGCGGGTGCAACGCTGTGCAGCTGCCTTGTTGCAGCGTTGGCACGCCGTCTACTTGCAGCACTGGCAGACCGCGACTTGCTCTGTTGGAGCGCGGTTGGCCTTGCAGTGCTGGAATGCGGTCGGCCGTGCTGCGCTGGCAGTTGACCTGCTTGCGTGCTAGCTCCTGATGCAGTCAGTGTTGCTTTGCCATTGTTGATCATTGTTGTAAAGTTTCCTAGTAAAAACTCTTGCAAACTTTCCCCGTGAATGAGCAGGTAGTAAGAGCACAAGCAAATGACTAAGGAACGCAGAGATCACCCTCACAACCGTGCCTAGCCCATAGTCTAGCTCCCGTTGATATAGTTATCTCCGCATCTCATTCCGCTGTCCTATCTTCAACACAATTTGCCCAAATTCTGTAATTTGCCCGGACCCACACCGTTGGATCATTAAATTAAGTTATCATCATCGCTAAAAGAAACGTTGATAGCCACCGCCGCTCGGTTGCGTACCACTCGGGAGGTTTCGTGTTGCTCGACACTCCAAACCTTTACATGCTTGTCATATTGAAATGACGACCGAGCTTCTGTGGCCCTTTCCAGGTCAGCCACATGATCACTCCCATCACCCCACACCTCATATAACCTGTCAACTAGTACGTCAGGTCATTCTTCCTAGTCAGACTTTTCCGCCGGTACATCCTGGCCACCTGCCAACTTCCACGCCACCGACAACCTTGGGCAACATCGAGAAGCACCATGTCCTCTAGCTGGGGATTCCGCAATGTACGCGCGCTCATATAGCGGAAGGGCTTTTTGATGGAGGGAAGTGGGTAGGAAGGGATAGGGGGGTGAGTATTTTAGGGAAACTTATTGGGTTCCTTACTGCGCACCACCACAACACATACAACACTCGACCGTTCTTTGCCCGTTAACTCAGACGGTGTTTGCCACTTTGCGAGTGACAATTACCATACTACGCACTGCATGGCTTGGTCATATTTACCTAATCTAACGGGACTAGCCCGAACCTCGTTGCCCGCATCGCACTAGCTAGCTTCCACGCACCACGTTAACTTTTTGCTTGTTTGATATGAAATGTTCGCTCATGCCTTCGCTCGTATTTGTTTTCCTTTGCCTTAGATCCCTGCTTTATTTGTAACACTAATTTAGCAATTCCTTCCCAGTGCACTATATTCCATCAAATCTAGTCTCTACAAAGATCCTACAATCAGCATAAATTTCGCTTATTCCAACAGTAACAATACTTAACGGTCGACATTCTTGATTTATTTTAAATATCAATAGACTTCCCAAATGTATCCAAATACATATATAGAATAAAAGCATATCTACCGTTTATATAAATCTCATACAAACTTCCCCTCCCTCATTATTTAGAGACATCGCCAACTCCGTAACGCGTTCAGGGTGGCTCGTGCCTGTTTGTTGCGAGTTTGTTCCGAGCGGTTCATTTTGGTACGCAATGGTCAAAAGCGGAAAAAGCTGAGAACCGCTCCCAACATGAACCGAACCCGCGACAGAAGCATGACCCCCTCCCCCAACAAGTGAAAGTACGCGTTTGTCCAAATGAATCACTCCCCGCAACTCCTGCAACCCAGGTGTACCCCATCGCATTGCTGGTACTGGAGGCGAAAGCTACTATGCTTTCGCCCCGCCGCGCAGTTTGAATCCCTCGTCATCCATTGGGATTGGCTAGCGGCACGCTGATCGCCTAGTACCAACAACACTTTCCTCCCGTCATCGCGCCCCCCCCTCGTTCATCCATTTGCGTTCCTCCCCCCTTGTGCCCATCATGACGACAGTCGCCACACCCCCCATCGACTCCTCCTCGCTGCCCCTACGCCATTGCCTAGTCCTAAGGTCCACCACATGCACGTTTCTGGGCCTCCGCGCACCTAGTCTGAGATTCCCCCGTCCCCCCCACTCACCTCTCCCTTCCTCCTTCCGCAGAAACGCTCTTCGGGATCCGCGAATTAGATACCGGGAATAATAAATCAGAATGTGCGATTGACCCCTCGCTCTCAACACATAAATTGACCCCTCGCTCTCAACACATAAATTGACCCCTCGCTCTCAACACATAAATTGACGCCCGCTCCCGAGGGCTCAATCACATTCTCCCACCGCTCCACGCTCATTGCGTGCCTTCTTCTCCTTCTCAGTCGCCGCACCTTCAAGTCCCCACCCTATTCACCTCGTCGCGACTACCAGCGGCGTGACTCCGGCGGTTCAGCTCTGATCTGAAGCTTCTTGCCGTTCCGCCGTCATCACCATCCGCGCCTACCTGCCTTCCCGTTTCTCCGCGCCGACTCCGGTCGCCATGAAGCCCTGCGCGCGCCTGTCCGGCCTGTGTGGCCTCGCCGCACTCGTCGCGGGTCTTGTTGCCATCAGCTTCCTCGCGACCCATGCCAGCGCCGCTGGTGGTGAGTAGGCTGACTGAAACACACCACTGGCAGTAGAATTGTAGTGTTGGATTGCTGTTGAGTGCGCAACCATATCGGAATTCTTGTAGTGCTGGCGAGTGGATGAGTGCTGGAGTGCGGTTGAGCGACTCACAAGCACAGCGAGCAGAATCTGTCTCGTTTTGACCCCCTTTCCCTACCTTGCATGTGTGCTGGTGTGTGTGCCTCTCTGCCCCTTACTTGAAACAATCACGATTTCTGCGCAGACCTGTGTGCGAACGAGGATTGCGGGGAAGGCACCTGCGCTGTTGATGTAGAGAATGACATACCCCTGTGCGTGTGCAAGGACGGTTTGGTATTCGACGACGACCACAAGACATGTGTCGTGGGTGAGTGAGTGCTGGTGTGTGGGCGAGTGCGCGCATGTGAGTGAGTTCACAATCATAAGCAACAGTTCCACTCATTTAACCCGCTCTCCCTGCTTCCACACCTCGGAACCCCCCATCACTTCCTCTGCAGACCCGTGTACCGGCGGGGTGTGTGGGGTAGAGGCTTCCTGCACCACTCTCGGTCCGACCGAGTTCCTGTGCAATTGCAACAAGGAAGGCTTTGCCTTCAACGAGGCGGACAAGACGTGCTTTCGTGAGTGCTGCACTGCTCAGCTGTAGGCACTAAAGTTCTCGAGGCACTCGCATCTTAGCATCTCAGCGTTTTGGCGTGTCAACATGCTGCACTGGGAGGCGCCGCTGAGAGGCAACGCTTGGAACGTGAACCACTCCTCACTCCTCCCGCACCTTCCCCCCTGTCTGTCCCCTTCCTCTCCTCTCCCCCGTCCCGCCTCCAACTCGACGCCTTCAATCCCTCACCATCCTCACGCAACCTTCAACGGTCTCATCGCCTGGCCAGCCCCGCTGGCGCGGACGACGGTGGCACTCAAGGCAAGAGGCTTCGGCCTGACGAACGCCTTCTTCTTGTCGCCGCTGCCGGCCGAGCAGGCCAGTGCCAGTGGCACCACGGTGTGCGGCAACCTGGACGTCATGCTCCAAGGCACCACCACCATCACTGCCGTGTGGAATGCCTCTAACCCCGCCTCGCTTAGCAACGACGCGCCCAGCAACGCCATGTGCAAGAGCCTGTCGTTCTATGCCGAGTCGTTCTGCAAGGAGAAGCTGGGCTTTACTATCGCGCGGCCTGCGAAGAAGGGTAGTTCCTACCCTGTCACGAAAAAGTGAGTGCGCTTGATGCACATGACTGGGCGCCCTTCTATCACCGAAGTCGTTTGACCATCGTAGTTGTAGCGTGAATGGAATGGAGCGAATGTCGTAACTCGCCTTCATCTCCGTCCTATCCTTTGGTCCTCGCCTTCCCTCTCCTTACCTCTCCCTCTCAGGACTGTCAAAGGAATCAAATCGCTGCTATCAGTTGGCTGCGAGATCAGTAAGTGCGAGCGCATGCACGTAATACTAAGGTTTCTAAGCACGCAATATCGATGACACTGGATAGATATGGTAAGAAACAGCGAGTGACAATACCAACCTCTCTTTTTGTGGTTCTTTTTTTCAAGCCCCTATTCCTCAACTGAAAAGCTACCCCCTTGACTCTACATGCCTGGATTGCTTGTCCCTCTGTGATGCCCACAACAGCCATGTGTGAGAATGATTGTGGAACTGCACAGTGCGTTGTGAAGGAGGGCCAACCACAGTGCCAGTGCCCCGAGGGCCTCATGTTCAACGCCGCCAAGAAGCTCTGCCTCGATCCGTCCCTTGCTCCTCCTCGTCGTAGGTGCCTTGCAGTTTGTTGCATCCTTGCCAACATTGAAGAATCAGCTTCTCGAGTATCGGTATATGGTACCTTGTTGTGTCTTTGCGAGTACACCAATGCACCAAGAGGAGCGAGCTCTGCACTGGCGGGCTCTGCACTGGCGGGCTCTGCACTGGCGGGCTCTGCACTGGCGGGCTCTGCACTGGCGGGCTCTGCACTGGCGGGCTCTGCACTGGCGGGCTCTGCACTGGCGGGCTCTGCACTGGCGGGCTCTGCTGTCTTTCCGTCTCATCTCATGTCTTACTCTGTTTCCTGCCCTTCATTTGCCCCCTCCCGTTGCCCTCCCATTTGGCCCCTCCCATCCATTTGCACCATAAAGGGGCGGGTGGTGGAAAGGCGAAGAATGGGCGGCCCTAGTTGGACAAGCAGGGGCCAAGGACGTCGGATCAGGGGGTGGGGAGGGGGGAGGAGCGGGGGGGGTAGGGAAAGGGGGTTGGGTTGGGGGGATCGGGGGGGGAAGGGGGGGTTGGGGGGGAGGGAAGGGGGGGTGGGGTTGGGGGCTGATGGAGCAGCGGTGCAACAAACTGCATGCGTTTGCTCGGAGGCTAGGAATTTAGGAAACGGTGGGCATGACAGGTTGGCTGGTTCACTTAGTGTATGGTACGGTAGTAGAACTGGGCTTATTAATGTATGTTCTTCCTCCTGGTATGTTGTACAATGCAATCTACCACTTTTAGTTCCTTCAGAAGTCTTGGATGTCTTACGATAGCTGCAATCCACACTTTTCCTACTCTAAGCAGGACCATTCACCACATAAACTACACTGGTAATACCCGCGTGTGGCATATCCATGTTGTGTGACCTCGTCGGGAATCCTGCAACCCTGCAACCCTGCAGGCCTCTGTACAGTAGCTCACTCAGAAGCATCCCTGCACTGCACTCATCTTCGCCTGCCTCCTCTGACCCTCCCCCTCTCCCACTGCCCCCGTCTGGTGCTCTCCCCCGGTCCCTCACCTTTCCCTTCAACCTTACCACCCTTATCCTTCCCCTCCTTCCTCCAATCTCTATCCTCCTCACCTTCCTCCTCCTCACCCTCATCCTCATCCTCCTCCTCCTCACCCTCATCCTCATCCTCCTCACCCTCCTCCTCATCCTCCTCATCCTCCTCCTCATCTTCCTCCTCATCTTCCTCATCCTCCTCTCCTCTCCCCCCTCTCCCCCACCCAGCACCATGATTTGGGTTGCGGAACAGAGGTGCAGCATCTTCATCGGAATCAGAACCTTCTGAGTCGCTTCCGCTGCTGCCTGGAGTGAGAGAGGCCAAGGGGGGGGAATGGAGAGGAGGGAATCAAGGCGCGTTCAACTGGAAAGTTTGAATGAGGCGGGTACAACTGGTGAAGCTGTATGGTACGGAATATTCCAGTAAAAATGAACAAAAAGTAGCAGGCGTTACCTGGGAAGGCACATCTGTGCATCACCTGGGCAAGGCACATCTGTGCATCACCTGGGGAAGGCACAAATGTGCATCACCTGGGGAAGGCACATCTGTGCATCACCTGGGGAAGGCACATCTGTGCATCACCTGGGGAAGGCACATCTGTGCATCACCTGGGGAAGGCACATCTGTGCCGGCATGTCTGGCCTGTGCAAGCTCCGCCTCCCTCTCCATCCACCTGTGCTGCGCCGCTATCACCTCCGCTCCATCCGCACACGCCGCATACGCCTCCAGCAGCTCACTAAGGGCAAGAGCAAAGGGAGGGAGGAGCAGCGAGAGGGAAGGGAAAGGGATGGTGGAGAGGAGGGAGGAGAGGAATGGTGAGGTTGACGCCTTCGCTTCGCTTGCACACGCCGCGTATGCCGCCAGCAGCTTGCTGCAGGCAAAGGTGGGGAAGCGGTGGGAAGGAGGGGCATGAAGTGGTGGGTGGAGCAGAGGGAGGAGTACTGATGTGGCTGTGTTACGCCTGCCCCGTCCGCACCAGCTGCAGCTGCCTTCAGCAGCTGGCTGCACTGGTGGTGGGAGGGAAAGGGGTTAAGGGAGGAGGGGTTGGGGGATTCATGCAAGAGATGGCGGGGAGTGAACGGGGACGAGTGAAGGCAAGGAGGGATATTTGGGGAGAAAGGGAGAGTGGAGGGGGGAGGGTGGCAGGGAAAAGAGAGCAGAGGAGAAAAGGTATGGGAGGAGATAATCAGAGAAACGAAAAGCTCAAGGGAGGGGCAAGGGGGGAGGCGTGGAAGGTAGAGGGAGCAAAGGGAGAGGGGAAAGGTGGGCAGCGAAGGAGAGAAACGCGTGTAGAGAGAAAGGAGATGACGCGCCTGTTGAGGGAGAGGAGGGCTTGCCTGTTGAGGGAGAGGAAGGCTTGCCTGTTGAGGGAGAGGAAGGCTTGCCTGTTGAGGGAGAGGAAGGCTTGCCTGTTGAGGGAGAGGAAGGCTTGCCTGTTGAGGGAGAGGAAGGCTTGCCTGTTGAGGGAGAGGAAGGCTTGCCTGTTGAGGGAGAGGAAGGCGTGGCCCCACTTGAAGCGACTGAGCAGCTCCGAGGCTGTTTGCTTGTCGCCACTGGTTGGTGATGGGGGAGATGCATGGCGAGGGGGGAGATGCATGGAGAGGGGGGAGATGCATGGAGAGGGGGGAGATGCATGGAGAGGGGGGAGATGCATGGAGAGGGGGGAGATGCATGGAGAGGGGGGAGATGCATGGAGAGGGGGGAGATGCATGGAGAGGGGGGAGATGCATGGAGAGGGGGGAGATGCATGGAGAGGGGGGAGATGCATGGAGAGGGGGGAGATGCATGGAGAGGGGGGAGATGCATGGAGAGGGGGGAGATGCATGGAAAGGGGGGAGATGCATGGAGGGACATGCTTTCAGAAATGACGGACAACGAATGTGATGGGGATGCAAGACACGGATATAAACTCATTAAACATGAGTACACCAGCTTGTAAACGAACCACCAACACGAACCTGCAGGCTCAGGTGTGCAGAACCCACCATCACCATGTGTACGGTGTGCACCCAGTACAACCACCAAGGGCACCCATCATACAAGGAGCACCACTATGTGTGCGTTGCCCCACCATCAGCCATGTGAGTATCCCCCTGGACACACTGCGTGCGGTGGTGTGGGTGTGGTACGATGCACCCACCAGATGTAGAGAGCAGCAGCCATGGCCTCAACGCATGACAGCTGGCAGGGCTTGCCGTAGTTGACTGGATTGGCCGCCACCAGCCACGGCACTGCAGCACGGGAGGGTGGGAGGTGCGAGAACAATGGGAGTGAGAATCAGGCACGGACGGATGAACGCAAGGAGAGGGTGAGAGACAAGGGGAGTGACAGTAAGAGAAGCAAACTGCAACTAACTGTACATGAATGCAGCCGCATGCGGACTTGACACCACGTCACCTCCTTGGCTTGGCTCTCCACAGGGACTCACACAGCCTGGGAGCACCCGACTCACACAGCCTGGGAGCACCCGACTCACACAGCCTGGGAGCACCCGACTTGAGGGCAGCGAAGGGCACATCTCCAAGGCGAGCCCACGAGCAGTCCACCACGGCCAGCCCCTTGGCTGCCAGCAGCGGCGCGTCTGCCCTCGACACCGCCCTCTGGCCTGTTGGACTGGGAGGGAGGGGGAGGTGGGGGAAGAGGGCGAGCAGAGCGATGGGGGGGTTAAGATGGGGCGAGCATAATTACAAGATCTCGAGCAGTCCATCATGGCCAGGGTGTTGACTGCCAGCAGGGGTGCGTCTGCCCTAGACACCGCCCTCTGCCCCGCTGGACTGCGGGGGGAAGAGGGAAGAGGGCGAGCAGAGGGATGGGGGTTAAGATGGGCTCAGGGATACAAGCCCTCGAGCAGTCCATCATGGCCATGGGGGTTTCGTCTGCCAGCAGGAATGCGTCTGCTCTGCCCTTGACACCGCCCTCTGCCCCGCTGGACTGCAGGGGGAGAGGCGAGCAGGGAGAGGGGAGGTGAGGAAGGGCGGAGGAGGGATGGGATGGACGATTTCAGGCATGGAGGGAGGGGGGGGGATGGGCAGAATCGAGCCAAGGGGCAGCACAATACGGCCAGCTCCTTGACTGGCATAAGCAGGCGGAGAGGGGGGGAGGTAAGGTGGAGAGCACAGGAGCGATCTATCACCACTGCACTGCGGCATCCCCCCCACCAGTGCTGCCCACATGTCATCGACCGAGTGTCAGGCGGCTCTCAGACACATGTGAATCTACTCCATTCCCTTTATTTCCTTCCCTTCCTTCCCCAGGCCTCCTCTACTGCTCTCGCTCTGTTCATCCCGCCCTTGTCCGCACCACCCATACCTTCACCCTCCCTCCTCCTCCTTCACTCCCTCCCTGCAACACTCACCTCGCACATGCGTTTGAGCGTTCTCACACCATGCACTGGCCGCACATGCGTTTGAGCGTTCTCACACCATGCACTGGCCGCACATGCGTTTGAGCGTTCTCACACCATGAACTGGCCGCACATGCGTTTGAGCGTTCTCTTCTCACACCATGCACTGGCCGCACATGCGTTTGAGCGTTCTCTTCTCACACCATGCACTGGCCGCACATGCGTTTGAGCGTTCTCTTCTCACACCATGCACTGGCCGCACATGCGTTTGAGCGTTCTCTTCTCACACCATGCACTGGCCGCACATGCGTTTGAGCGTTCTCTTCTCACACCATGCACTGGCCGCACATGCGTTTGAGCGTTCTTTTCTCACACCATGCACTGGCCGCACATGCGTTTGAGCGTTCTCTTCTCACACCATGCATTGGCCGCACATGCGTTTGAGCGTTCTCTTCTCACACCATGCACTGGCCGCACATGCGTTTGAGCGTTCTCTTCTCACACCATGCACTGGCCGCACATGCGTTTGAGCGTTCTCTTCTCACACCATGCACTGGCCGCACATGCGTTTGAGCGTTCTCTTCTCACACCATGCACTGGCCGCACATGCGTTTGAGCGTTCTCTTCTCACACCATGCACTGGCCGCACATGCGTTTGAGCGTTCTTTTCTCACACCATGCACTGGCCGCACATGCGTTTGAGCGTTCTCTTCTCACACCATGCATTGGCCGCACATGCGTTTGAGCGTTCTCTTCTCACACCATGCACTGGCCGCACATGCGTTTGAGCGTTCTCTTCTCACACCATGCATTGGCCGCACATGCGTTTGAGCGTTCTCTTCTCACACCATGCACTGGCCGCACATGCGTTTGAGCGTTCTCTTCTCACACCATGCACTGGCCGCACATGCGTTTGAGCGTTCTCTTCTCACACCATGCACTGGCCGCACATCTACGCCAGATGAGCCCAAACAGGTCTAAGCGAACAGCTAAAGCATACGCCCTTCACCCCTCAATCAATCCACTGAGGCCCCCCCCACCTGAAGCAGACGCCCCTTAACCTCTCAACTCCCAACCTGAGGCAGATGCCCACCTGAGGCAGATGCCCACCTGAGGCAGATGCCCACCTGAGGCAGATGCCCCCAAAGCGCTGCTGCACACGCATCTCCCGAATGAGCCTCAGGCGCAGCAGCTTGCGCCCCGTGCAGCGCTTGCTGTCGCACTGCCCGAAGTCCTGTGCGTGGGCGCGCAGGGCAGCAGCGATTTGAGAGTGAAAGTGAGGATGAGTGGAGGGCATGGCATGCGCCTATGGGCCGTTTGTGCATACACAGTACAGACGCTCCCACCTCGCCATGTAACGCTTTCTGTTGCACTGACTAAACAGGGGCACTTGGTTAAAGCCTACAAGGAACTGAATAAGGCGGCATTTGAGGGCAGTGGCAGTGATCTAACAGGGAAGGAGGGCTTAATCCAGGAGCCTGTTTACTGCTGCTTGGCTGCTGTAGCAACAACAGCAGCAGCAGCAGCAGCAGCAGCAGCAGCAGCAGCAGCAGCAGCAGCAGCAGCAGCAGCAGCAGCAGCAGCAGCATCAGCAGCCAGATGCTTTGCCACTACACTACTCCATGTGTTACCAGCGTGCGGCAAGGCCATCACACAGGGCGGGCGAGCTTTGCCTTAGCCATGTCTTGACGTTTGCCCTCACCAGACCTGAGTCGCATTGTACGAAGATGTGCAAACCTAAGCTGGCCGCCCCAGCGTGGCCAGCTAGCTGCTAACCTACGTGACACACAGCTCACCAATCGAGGACCCTTTCCATACAAACCCGGCCAGCAGCGGAATGAGTCAACTATAACATCCAGCCAGCTCACCCACATGGCCAGCTCACCCACATGGCGAGGTCCATGGGCGGCTTGTAGGGCTTGGCGTCCCCAGATGGCCGCGATGAGAGCTCTGTGGGCGCAGGGTGGGTGAACAGTGGGCACGGGAGGGATGGGCGTGGTACAGAATGAGAGAAACGTATGAACCGATACTTTGCCAGGAAATGAATAAAAAGCAAAGAGGGAGGGACAGAGGGAAGCAGGGAGGGGTGGGAATGGAAAGCCATGGACAGTCTTGCGAGGGCTGCTCTGAGCGGGGTGAGTGGGGTGAGTGGGGTGAGTGGGGTGAGTGGGGTGAGTGGGGTGAGTGGGGTGAGTGGGGTGAGTGGGGTGAGTGGGGTGAGTCTGGTGAGTGTGGTGAATGGGTGAGCTTGATAGGTGGGCCGGCGGTGGGGCGCGTGGGGGTGAGGGGAGGGAACATCATGGAAGACATGCGCTGGGCGCTCACTGATACCCAGAAGGAAAGGGAAGGAGAAGAGAGGGAGGTGAACTGGAGAAGGAGAGTTTCAAAAGCTTCGGAATCACTTGCGCAGTATAAGGACAGATCACGGCATGAGCGAGCTGAAGTGCAGATCAAGGCATGAGCGAGCTGAAGGGCAGATCACGGCATGAGCGAGCTGAAGGGCAGATCACGGCATGAGCGAGCTGAAGGGCAGATCACGGCATGAGCGAGCTGAAGGGCAGATCACGGCATGAGCGAGCTGAAGGGCAGATCACGGCATGAGCGAGCTGAAGGGCAGATCACGGCATGAGCGAGCTGAAGGGCAGATCACGGCATGAGCGAGCTTGAGTCTCACCGTCCGGCTCTTCCCCCCTCCCGCCCCTCCTCGGGCTTCCTGCCTCCTCGGCTGCCCTGCCGCCCGCCCTGTGGTCGCTGCCGCGGAAAGGAAGAGGGGACAAGGAGAGGGCGATGGGAATTGCGTGGAGAGGAGGGGAGGGGACTGAAAGGAAAAAGGGGGAGCAAGGAATTGCTGCGCGACGAAAGTCCAGCTACTCCTACGGGCGCAGTAGGCGAACCCGAACCTGTCGCCGCCGCACTCTCGGCGTAACCGAACCTGTGAGCGCAACCGAACCTGTAGGCGTACCCGAACCTTTTGGCGGACCCGTGCCTGTGTGCGCGTAAATCGACTCAACCGCTACCCGTGCCTGCTTCGCGCCCATCGCGGCCGTTCCCCTCGTTACCTGGATCCGTTTGACCGCCAGCCCCCGCCGTCTCTTCTTCCCCGCCCCATCGCCCCGCCGTTAGCCGCCGCGCAGAATAACGCGCGGTAACCTACTCGATCGTCGACAACTGCTCGATCGCCCTCGGCATAAACTGTGCTCAGTCACAGAAAGCCGCAGCTTGGGAAGGACGCGAGTCCGAACGTATCGATAGCCTGCCGTCGTCGCAGGTTATGAATGAATGGTTTCCCGAGGACGCGTTACAAATTTTAATACCGACCCTGCGCACCATTTCGATGTCGCTAATGAGCTGGTTTCTTGATTTCGTGAGAGTTCGCGAATGCTCAACAACTCGGTGACAACGATCGTGTCCCATCAGAGTCACGCGATAGATTGTGCAATTTTGTACACGTAGGGCAATTTCGCCCGTATATTTCCAACGTGTTTGCAATTGCAAACAATGAAGTCGTGTTACTCCAATGTGGTGATGGATTGGCAGGACAGATCCTCCCCAATTTTCTCAAATGTGACGCGTCCTGAATGTGTGTTGGTTCTCAGTAGCCAAACGTTTTGTAACAATTTTGGATGTTTGTTCATGCTTAATTGAAGTGTATACTCTCTTGTTTAGGTTTCCTTCCGAGGGATATTTTTGAAGCGTAGTGAAAATTACATTGGTTGGAGTGCAGGCCAAAAAATCCTTATGTTTATGGTCCAACTTGCATTAGCAGAAGTGTGGCTTACCGTACATCCTTCTGTTCATTTCATTAGTTTTTCAAACCTAACAATTTTTGTGAAACTGGGAGTAGGACGATACTGGTAGAGACAGTATGATACTGTGAAATATTACGAGGAATGAGAACGACTAAGGGAAAGTTGAGTACAAGTACAAACCCTAGAAAGCTGTACCCCATATGTGCTACCCCACTATAGCCTACAGTGACTATGTCATATAAATTTGACACACCCCCATAGGCAAAGTGGGGGAGAACAAGGGGTCACAAGACCAATCAAGCAAAGCAAAGCAAGGCAAACTCAAGGTGGATCACAAAGTCACCACACATTCCGAGCACAAGTTCAAGGCCACAAGTTCAGTTCACATGCAGGATTACATAAATATATAAGGCTAGACAAGCACGAGCACGAGTACATATATATATGTAACAATACAAACAAGGTCAAGGGGTGAGCAAGTGAGGCAAGGTAGGCACAAGACCCAGCTGAGTATAGGAGCGCTGATGATCACAAGGCGCAAGTGCCTTGGTGAAGATATCATCAGTGTTGGCCTGGGAGGACACGTACGCAAGGCGCAGCTGACCACGCTGCTGTAGCTCTCGAGCAAGGAAGTAGCGAAGAGCAATATGTTTCGTTCTGTGCTCCAGTCTCTGCTCTCGACACAAGGCCAGCATGGCCTTGTTGTCTACGTACAGCACTGGAGGAGAACGAGGCGGCTCTCCGAGGTCAGTCAGCAGGTAGGTGAGCCAGCGAAGCTCCTGTGCAGCCATGGCTCCTGCGTAGATCTCAGCCTCACAACTGGAGCCGAGAACAGAAGACGAGCGAGTAGCCCGCCACGAAACAGAGCCGGAGCCAAGGCTGAAGGTGTAACCCTGTGACGACCGCTGCGTAGCCTGGTCGTCAGCCCAAGAAGCGTCTACGTGCCCAGTGAGGACCACTGGAATCTGCCCTCCAAGCACAAGCCCCATGCCCGACGTACTGCACAAGTAGCGCAACACCCTCTTCGCTGCAGCCATGTGCTCCGGTCTGTGTCTCCCAGGAGCAACATAGCGTGCGAGAATGCTAAGAGGGTAGGTCAGGTCGTGTGCAGGTCATCAGGTACATGAGGCAGCCAACAAGCTCTAGGTACGGGCCACTCGACTCTACGGACTCATCCGAAGGCAGAGCTGAGAGCGAGTGGCGAGTAGACAGAGGAGTGGCCTGAGGCGAGGAGTACGTGAAGCCGAAGCGCTGAAGGAACTGCTGCACCATGTGTGACTGAGTCAGGGTAATGGTGCGCTGTGCTCTGTCCCGGGTGACCTGCAAGCCAAGGTAGCTGCACAGTTCACCCAGGTGTGTGCACGTGTGTCTCTTCTGCAGCTCGGACTTCACGTGGGCGAGTCCAGCAGTGTCAGCTGTGGCAAAGACCAAGTCGTCGACGTACACGAGGATGTAGAACGGCGGCAAGGAAGTGTCGGTGCGCAGAATTAGCAACGGGTCGGCAGTAGAGGGAGCAAACCCAAGACCCGCAAGTGTAGTCCTCAGTGTGTCGTGCCACTCACGCGGTGCCTGGCGGAGACCGTAGACTGGCCGCCAGAGGCTCCATTGGGTGCCAGGAGGAAAAGACCCAGTGAAGCCACGGTGGGCGGCGCAGCCAGATCTCCTCGTGCAGGCTGCCCTGCAAGAAAGCAGTGCTCAAGTCAAGAGAGTGCAGCTCGTAGTCACGGTGAGCAGCTATGTGCAGCAGTACCCGAAGAGTGGTCATCTTCGGGGTGGGAGAGAAGGTCTGAAAGTAGTCAACTCCCTGCCGCTGACTGAAGCCACGAGCCACGTAACGCGCCTTGAAGACAGGCGGAGAACCCGGCGGCCGCTTCACCCTGAAAATCCAGGGTTTAGGGCCGCTTCACATGGCCACTGACGATGTTCGCCCCCAGAGGGGGAACGTCGTCAACGTAGGTGCCTGTGGACTTCCAGGAAGCCATCTCTGCGTCCATTAGCTGCCTCCCTCTGAGAGGAGTAGGGACCCTCTATCGCCTCCGCGTAAGAGCGCGGATTCGGGATGTCAAGTGCATCCGGGTCTCCCTCAGGGTTAAGAAGTACGGACACGAGATGGGGTGAAGCAGCAGCCAAACACTGGAACTCCTCTTGCCTGTCCTCAAGGACGTCCGTGCCAAGGGCACACTCACCCCCGACGGACGGAGGACAGACAGACTCAAACTCAGCAACAAGACTAGCAGCGTAGTCTAGGCGACAGCGAGCAGCAAAGTCGACGAGCTCAGCAACTAGGGCAGACGCAACAGTGGACTCAAAGGAAGGGTCTGTGACAATAGTAGCAAGGAGACGCGTGACAGTAGGATTGGCAGCACGAAGAGAGTCCGACTCCGGGTCGGCAAGAGCAGGAAGAGAGGACTCAGGAGGAGAAGGCAAAGGGGCACGCAGAGGAGCAGTGGACGGACGCAGAGACATCCGGTGTGTGCCAGGGACAGAAGGAGGACGGTGACGCGAACCACGACCACTAGTGCGAGCAGCACGGACAGGCGACGCAGGG